AAACCACTTGAAAAAATCTATTGTGATGTGTGGGGGCTTGCCCCGGTAGAATCTTTTCAACAGTTTAAATTCTATGTAGTCTTCATAGACAGTTTTTCACGGTTCTCATGGGTGTATACAATGAAGAGAAAGTTTGAGTTCTTTTCCATCTTTGTCATGTTCCAAAATCTTGTTGAGAACCAATTTGAAAGTCGAATTAAATCTTTCCAATGCGACGGTGGAGAGGAATTCAATATCAACCAGTTTGTTAATCATTTGAATGAGAAAGGAATTAAAATGTTGGTCTCCTGCCCATATACGCCAGAACATAATGGAAATGCCGAAAGGAAACATCGGGATATCGTTGAGTTGGGTCTTTCTATGCTCTACCACGCACGGGTACCGTTGATTGATTGGGTCGATGCATTTCTGACTGCCACATTTCTCATCAATATGCTGCCATCACCAATGTTGGGAATGAGTCATCCATTTGGTAAACTCTTTGGTAAAGAGCCCGACTATGGGTTTCTTCGAGTCTTCGGGTGTGAGTGCTATCCACACCTTAGACCATATGGTGTAACAAAGTTCGATCCGCTCTCATTACCCTGTGTTTTTCTTGGGTACAATCGGAGACATAAAGGTTATTGATGTCTTTATCCGCCTACAGGAAGGGTGTATGTAAGTCGTCACATGATATTTGATGAGACGAGATTCCCATTTTTTGCTAAATTGGGAACTGTTTTTCCTGGGTATTCACAGTTGTATCCGACTTGGTTACAAGGGGTGGAATTCTTTACTAGACAATCTGAAACAACAATGAGTGAAGAGCAAACATCACAACACATGAGCATGGGATTTCTATTTGATGAGAACAGCTCTGGACAACAAAATTATGAGCTGCCTAACAAAACAAATGTGCAGCAACTACAGTTGGGTTCACAAGAACCATGCACAGACTGTGAAACACATGACGAAGCAAGAGTCTCTGCCTCAAGTGATTTTCCAAACATTGACTTCAAGTTTCGCAACAATGAAAAAATAAAAACAAGCAAACAACACGAGAACAGAACAGCCTGCACTTGAGCACCGGAACAAACAAGTAAACAACACGAGAACAGAACAGCCAAGAGCACTTGAGCATTTAAAACTTTCATATAAGTTATCACCTTTTGCAGTGAAAACGAATGATATGATGTGTGATATATCTTTCTTCCCTCATTCACAGTGTCGTTGCTCTCCACAACTTGATTAACAATAAGGTGAGTTACCATACTGAATTATGAAATCAATTATGGGCACATCGTGTTTTATGTATATCATATTTGCTTTCTTTCTCAAGTGCTTCCTGTAAAGTGTGTCAACAAAATATCATTGAAGCAAACTACTTTTCTTTTTCTTTTTTTTGTCGACGAATCACACTACTTGAATGGATAAGATTTTACGCAAAGTATGGTTCATAGCTGGGTAGTTCTCCATGGAAATTGCCCCTAGGAAACCCAATGGTCTTAATAAAAAAATTTCTGCCCGATGCATTCACCTTTCTTCTGATATCCTTGTGAATAACCTGACTTGAGAAACTAAGAGCCATGATCTCGCAACTGATGGATTAGAACTTTGTTAAAATTGCAATTTAGAACCCATAAGTTCCATTAGTGAACAGAAAGCTATGACCAATTTTCATCTTTAGAAGGCAATAATAAGTTTACGACCAAAAAAAAAAAAAAAGAAGGCAATAATAAGTTGGCGTCAATAGAGGCTTGCTGATATTCTCCGAGCTGCTATTGTTACGTATAGCTGAAGATTTATGGCTTTTTATTTCAGATTTTGAACAAGGAACATGAGAAGGCGGAAGTGTTAGAAATATTAAAATTGTTTTTGTTTTTTTTGTAACTTTCCTTGAGGAGCAAGTTGAACTACAATCTTCTGCCGCAAAATGATTCAAAACTTAGTCTTCAAGTTGACAAGTCAAATTTGCTTAATAAAGAAGAAAGCATCACCGCCTTAGGAGTAGTATAAATAGGCATGTCCCTCTCCATTTGTGTTAACGTGTAGAAAGCCTTAGAAATAAGAGAGAGTTGAGAAAAAAAGCTTGTAGAGCTAAGCTTGTATCTTCCCTGTGTAAAGCCTACGCAAAAAGGCATTTTGAATATTATTCTCTCTTGTTTGTGTATTTGTGAGCCCCTTAACAAAATCTTCAAAGTTTCTCTATATCCTTTTTGATTCCAACAGGAAGACTCGAAGCTCGTTGTTGTTCTAGCTGCAGCGGGAAGCTGAATAAGGGACAGTATCATGTGTTGACATTCAACTAGTGTTTCTCCATCAATAGTTTGCGCTCGCCATGTCTTTCTGAGCTCACGGCCTTGGAGAAGAAACAGAGGCATGCATGGAAGGAAAGCAGTGGATAATGAAACTTTGCCCAACTTAGATCCAAAACCAGACCAGGCTGAACTAAAAGGACATCCATATATGAATAACCCATGAAAATCTATGTTAGAAAACTCCGACCAAGAGTAGGCTATGGAATCAACCAACACTACTAAACCCAACAACAATCGCGTCGGCAGTAGACCAAGAGAAGCCCATAACTAAACCCTGATCTCGCAATCACCAATCCAAAACAACGCATGCACAAACTTCAACAACTAGAGAGAGAGAGAGAGAGAGAGAGGCCGGTTGCGGCGACAGCAAACGAAGGGCTCAGCGACGATAGAGAAGCGGAAACAAAGTGAGTCGGAGAAGCAAGACAGAGATGAGATGCATTGACGTAGCGTCGCGGAAGGAAAGACAGAGATGAGAAGTGGAAAAAAAAAAAAGGAAAGTGAGTCTGGGAACAAGGGAAGATAATTAGGGATTTAGAGCTGCCAGTCGAGTTCTCTTCCTAGTTCCTGGTTTCCAACAATTCCTAAAAAAAAGGAACCGGGAACCGACCCTCTCTCCCTAGAATCGGGAACTGGATCGGTTTCCACCGGTCCGATTCTTCGATTCTCGGTTCTACCTTAGAACTATGCTTACTCGTAATTGTGAGGTTTCAAATTTCCAATAATTACATCCGGGTGCTAGTATTTAATAGACAATTGAATCTTGTGTTAATATTGGTTAATTCATTTATGAGATTGAGAGATTATTTTGTGAAGAATTATTAGGCGAAACATTGTGTGAGTTATTAAGTTTAATTGGGGCTTGAGAAACACTAAGAGTGTTTACGAACTCAAGTGTAGTTATAATTTCCGTTATATCGTTTGATCTACAGTAGAATTGTTTTCTGCTCTTCCCGTGGACGTAACAATCACGTAAATTCGGTATTCGATTTATCTTCTTGTTGTCTATTTTTTTGCTCCTTTTTTTTGTGAAGATATTTTATTATTTGATCGCTTGCTTTCGCAACATAAGAATTCAAGATAAATCGTAGGTAATACCAAATTTCACGAGAAAAAATGTGCATTGCTTCTTTGATAAAGAAATAAGGGAAAAAACCACCAAAAACCCCAAATTTTGCCATCTGTGACACATTTACCCCGAACTTTTTTTTGTGACACCAAAAACCCCGAATTTTGCTTTTTGTGACACATTTACCCCAATGTATTTAGTCCATGGGCATTTTCGTCTTTTTTGCTTTTTTTTTTTTTCCTTTCCGGCGAGGGGGGCCCTCGCCGGCGTCGAGCGAGGGCGGCCCTCGCCAGATCCGGCGAGGTTCACCCTCGCCGGCGTCGGGCGAGGTCCGCCCTGGCCTGGGCAAGCGAGGGCGGCCCTCGCCCGATCTGGCGAGGTCGACCCTCGCTGGCGTCGAGCGAGGGTGGCCCTCGCTGAGATCCGGCGAGGCCGCCCTCGCCGGATCGGGCGAGGGCGACCCTCGCTCGACGCCCGCGAGGTCGCCCTCACCCGGGCGAGCGAGGGTGGCCCTCGCCGACGCCGGCGAGGGCCGCCCTCGCCGAGATCGGCGAGGGCGACCTCACTCGACGCCGGCGAGGGTCGCCCTCGCCCGATCCGGCGAGGGCGGCCCTCGCTCGCCGTGCGAGGGCCGACCTCGCCCGACGCCGGCGAGGGTCGCCCTCGCCGGGCGAGCGAGGGCGGCCTCGCCCGACCCGTGCGAGGTCGACCCTCGCCGACGCCGGCGAGGGTAGACCTCGCCGGGTCGGGCGAGGGCCGCCCTCGCTCGCCAGCGAGGGCGAACCTCGCCCGACGCCGGCGAGGGCCGCCCTCGCCGGATCTAGCGAGGGCCGCCCTCGCTCGACGCCGGCGAGGGTCGCCTTCGCCGGAAAGGAAAAAAAAGAAAAAAAAAAAAGAAAAAGCAAAAAAGACGAAAATGCCCATGGACTAAATACATTGGGGTAAATGTGTCACAAAAAGCAAAGTTCGGGGTTTTTGGTGTCACAAAAAAAAGTTCGGGGTAAATGTGTCACAGATGGCAAAGTTTGGGGTTTTTGGTGGTTTTTTCCCAAGAAATAACTTTGAAGGGCATTTATGTTGTGGTTTATTTAATTTTCATCTCTACTCCCAACAAATAGATGAACGACTATAACCGTTTGATCTTTGCAACTTATTTAAGAACTGGGATAAATTGTTATCTGCATCGCATTTCGATATCCAGAATACTAGGATGCTATCACATTTACAATTAACTTATGGGTTGTACGTGATCATTCGCAATACCGCACCACTTGTCATGGTCCCATCACAACACCGCGAAGGCCCGTCTAAGTGGCCATCGCAATGAAAATGTGACATGAAAGGCCAAAACTCTGTCATAATTTTGCATCAAAGTGAGTTGCATTCGAGCACGATCCCATCACATCACTTGCGACTTCCGGGCATTTTCCCATTTTCCACTTTTGGGGGCAAACTTTTGCCACTTTACTTTTGCATTACTTGCTCCTCTGTCCGGCTCTCCCCCGCAAGTGAATTGCCCAAAATGACCCTCCCGGTCTCCCCAAGAACGAGGACCCCCGCGCGCAACCACCCAGGGGCACTTTCGTCAACGCAAGTTTCTCCTCCTCTCCCACTTCACTAGTTCACTCCCTCACGTCGCTCTGCTCACTATCTTCTTCCCCCGAAGCAAAATACCGGGAGATCCGATGGGCAAAAAGGTCAAATGGTCGTGGACCTCCGCCCTAATCGGCGCGGCATCCGCCGCCGCGGCCACGGCGGTGTTCCTGGCGAGGCCCAAGGACCCGACCTTCCACCTCGTCTCCATCGGCCTCACCTCCTTCAAGCTCAACCCCCCTGTCCTCGACGCCGAGCTCCTCCTCACCGTCCACGTCACCAACCCCAACGTCGCCCCCGTCCACTACCCCTCCGCCACCGTGTCCATCCTCTACGGCGGCTCCCCCCTCGGCACCGCCGACGTCGCCGCCGGCTCCCAGCCCCCGCGGTCCTGCCGGCTGCTCCGCCTCCCGGCGCGGCTCGACGGGCTCGAGCTGGCCCGCCGCCACGCGGGGAGGTTCTTCGCCGACGTGGCGCGGCGGGAGATGGTGCTGGACGCGGAGGTGGACCTGGCGGGGGTCGCGAGGTTGCTGTGGTGGGACCACCGCTTCCGGGTGCACGTGGAGAGCCACGTGACGGTCGACCCGGTGTTCCTCGACGTGATCGAGCAGGAGAACCGGTCGGAGCTGGAGGTGTTCCTCGCCTAGCTTCGTTTTTACGAAAACGCCCTCCCGTGGATTTAGCGGCCCTGTAATTTTTCATTGTCCGAAGGTCCGGATTGGGAATTGTATTATATTAAATATTAATCGAAAAATCGGAAGATTTGATGGTTTGTTATTTGAATTTTACCCCGATCCCTCTATTCACCAAGTCTCTTATCCGATATTACATGTCGATCGGCATCCCAATATATTTCGATAATCGATACTTGCCTCCTCTAGATACGTTAGGAAAAACGACACAAATGGTGAATGAATTTTTGTCCGATATACAATGCCATATCTGAAATTTTTAATTTGTTTATTGTGGTCCTTAAGCTTTGGTCGAGTGTGCAGTGTCGTCCTCGAATTTTTAATTTATTCGATGTAATCTCTGAAATATTGGTAAATGTTTAATTTGGTCCCTAAATTATGTGAGAATGACGCAAACGGAAGGATTACATTGAATATTTACCGATATTTCAGGAACCACATTGATCAAGTTAAAAGTCAATGAACAATATTGCACATTGGATCAAAATTCATGAATTGTATTGCATAAATTAAAAGTCTAGAAATAATATTACACATTGGGCAAAAATCATGAATTGCACTGCACAAATTAAAAGTCCATGAACAACATTGCATATTGAGCCAATGTTTATGGACTATTGTGTTGTTATCCCTATATATTAACTGTTGAAATACAGCCGAGACACCAATAAGAGCATTGCGTGACATAAAGTATCTCCAGTCTGGCGCAAGACCGTATGTCACAATACAAATGAATCTTCTAACCTTAGCCCCGGCCTGAGTCGATAGCCATGTGAATTTGAATCTTAGAGGTGACTTGTGTATTTCGCTTTTCTTACCGACGGCATGCTAATCTCACTTCATCATTTGCATCTCGAGCGATCACGATTTTCCAATTGCAATTTGAGACTGAACGTAACTACGACTCCATCTAGCACCGATGTAGAAGAGAACGAGCCCCACTTTCATTTTTTTCCTGAAAGGATCTCGTCCAAACGAGCTCTTGGGTACGCCTTGATCCGAACGCTTTATTCAGCAGTACATGTGTTTTAGACCGGCGTGCAATGATCGATCGCGACCCAAATTAACAAGGCCACAAAAGGAGAAAGAAAGAGCCGTGGATGGACCATGCCTTCCGGTCTCTCTGCTCTAAAACACGAATCAACACCCAATTACGATCTTGGATTTTAGCACAAGGGACCAAAAAGGCTTGGCGATCACGCTTCCGGGGCCAAGAATGATGATGGGGGGTGGCCAAGCACGCCCACGAAGCGCGAACCCCATTGGACATCCTAGATCTGTCTGTACTATTACTCCAAATCCTGGCGCGACAGCATGCACGATGATGATGATGGGACACAGAAAGAGAGAGAAAGAGAGAGAGAGAGAGAGACAGAGGAAGATGCTTCAAGAGATTCCGACTCCAAAGAGGGGGAGAGCAGGTGGCCGCCAGTGGATCTGGTCACCGGAAGCAGAAACTGTGCGGGGGCTCTGTCATCTCCCTCAACCCCAAAAAACAGTGTTTCTTCCCTGCGATTCAGTGTGTACTAAAAGATCACAGCAGCACGGGAATAGAAAAAAGAAGGGCATTTTGAAAAAGGGTAGAATTTGATATTCCTTGTATCTGAAGATCTCTCTGCCTCTGTCTCTCTGCTTTTAAAATCAATTACAGCAGGTGAACGGCTCACGATCCAGCTAAACTCCAATTCAATCTCAGTGCATTGTGTCACTAAAAGAGAGAGAGAGAGAGAGAGAGAGAGAGACATCGCTGGAGCTTAAGCCACATGCAAAAGATCAGAGGATACATTCACAGCAGAAAAGGACAGGAAAGCTTTTTCCCCATTCTGTGAAGTCGTGGAAATGATGCAATCCGTGCGGTGAATTTTGAGTGCCCCTGGATAAGTTTGTAACCCGAAAGAGTTTCGCATTAGAGAGTCTCGATAAAACTCATTTTGGCCCGTCTCCATCTCGGCCGCCCCCTTTTTTTTCTTTTTTTCGATTAACTAATTCAAATATCATTCGCTCTTCGATATATTATTTTATCACTCCGTCCTCTCGTCGTTTTGAATTGCAAAAAAACTATATAAAAAAAATTAGAAATCACAGTTCATAACAGCTTATGAGCACGCAATTAAAAAAAAAATTTCCGCTATATATAATTGGATTGATGCAAATTGCCAAAACGTTACGAGTGAGACATAAAGCACATTAAAATTCGAAAGAAGAACAGAATTCGGAAAGTAAATAAATAAACAAAATAAAAAATAAAAAAAACAGTTTCCATTTCCACCAATAACCTCCCCTCCCTCCCTTCCTCCAGAGCCATAACCATCATCATCTTCATCTTCATCTTCATCTTCCCCTACTATATTGGGCCTCTGTAATCCTCTGAAACCAAGAAAATCAAGATCCGCTTCCAGCCCGGGGGCAGAACCAGAAGCAATCTCCCTGCTCAGTGCTCCCCACTCTTCTTCTTGCTCCTTCCCTTCCCTTCCCTCCACAGACCCACTTCCCGTAAACCCCGCAAATTTCCGCTCTCTTGATTTTCCACCACCCCCCAAGAAGGGGAAATCAAGAAAGCAACCGCCATTTCCGCTTCCCCCCACCCACCGCCGGAGCGAGCTCAGCGATGGCCGAGGTGGTTCTCCACTCGCCCTCGCATTTCCCGTCCTCCCCGGCCTCCCCTTCCTCCTCCACCTCCTCCTCCCTGTCCTGCGCCCCCCGCCCCGGCCCCGGCGGCGACGCCCTCCTCGCCCTCGGCGCCCCGGCCTCGCCGCCCTCGTCGGCCGCGGCGGACTACGGCGGCGACTCCTCCGCGGCGGCGGAGGAGGGGGAGGAGGGGGAGGAGGAGGAGGAGTGCGTCTCCAAGGAGGGGGACGGGCGGGAGGGGGACCAGCTCTCGCTGCTGGCGTTGCTGTTCGCCATCTTCAGGAAGTCCCTGGTCGCGTGCAAGAGCGACCGGAGGGAGATTTGCGCGATGGAGATCGGGTGGCCGACCAACGTGCGCCACGTCGCCCACGTCACCTTCGACCGGTTCAACGGGTTCCTCGGCTTGCCCGTCGAGTTGGAGCCCGAGGTGCCCACGCGAGCCCCTAGCGCCAGGTACATTTCGGATTTTCACCCCTCGAATCCGTCGTTTTCGCCGTTCTTGATGTCGCATTGAGCGTTGCTGTTCCTGGAATTGCGATTTCCTATTTTCATTGTTGTCCGATTTTGTGCTGGAGATGACTGTGTTGTGTGTAACTGCTGTTAGCGGCCATTCTCTGATTGTGGTGTGGCCTCTGGGTTATGAATCTATGATGGTTACTTTTCTTCCCGATGTGTTGCCTATGTGAATTTCGAGTTATCGGCTTAGGATAGTAGTCTCATTTAGCATCTTGCCATAAGAGGTATGAACCGTAGAATGACAAAGATTGCTGCCATTTGTTTTTATCTGTTCTTTTAGGAAATTTTGTGATACATAACATATGGATGCACTTTTTGAAAGTTTAAACTTTGGGTCGCGACTCCAAACTCTTCCCGGTAGTTTTTGGTAGTCACAATTGGAGGGCTTTGCAATTTACCTACGGAATAACCCAGCAATGACATTTTGAGGGCTAGTTGTATCATTTCGGCTAAGCAAAGTTAGCAGTCGCAACTTACCCCGCTTTAGTTCTCCTGCGTTTTCTCACCTTGCTTGTTCATGGATTAGGATGGTTTCTTTCATCTGTATTACTAGAAAATTGACATCTTTTAGGATCATATTCAAAATGTTTGCTTGTAGTCTTTTAGAACAATATTCATGGGTTTCCCCGAGATTTTGTTGAACTTTGCCAAGCTCTCTTCATTTATTTGTGGATTAAAATATAATTAACAAAGAATGAAGTTGTGACTCTGTTCACACTTCACAAGACACAGAGGGTCTTTTGAGTCGTCAAGTCTCTATTGGACTGATATGATTATTAAAGATATAAACTATGTCTCTTCTGCAAACTGCAATTGACAACAACTCAGAAGGGGCAACGTTCACTGGACAATTCACGCTAACCTGTTAACTTTTCAAAGCAACTGCCTGTGCCTACTTACTTTGTTCACATCAGATTATATGATATGCTCTGCTTTTGTCGAGGCTTCAAAGTCAGTTAATGTTGTCTGAATAGTTTTTAGTTATCTATGTCTTCTGTGAGAATGGTCACCAATTGTAACTAGATGTATTCCTTTTGAAACCTGTATATATTCTGATCCAATATTCCTGAACCAGTGCACATGTTTTTGGAGTCTCGACGGAATCCATGCAGTTATCTTATGACTCTAGAGGGAACAGTGTGCCAACAATACTGCTGCTTATGCAACGAAAGCTGTATTCTCAAGGAGGTTTACAGGTTCGTCATGATCTTATCTCTTAGCCCGGGATCATTTTCAAGTTAGATCCACTCTCGTTTTGCACTAGAAAGCGGAGATAGCCGTTCATATATACCAGGGTTTTGATTGAATCACATATATTCACATCCTTTTTGGCAGTAGTCAAATTCAAGCCGGTTTAGTTTGTAAATTTAGTATAGTCATTAAACGTGTTTTCTATTGCAGGCAGAAGGTATTTTCAGGATAAATGCAGAAAACAGTCAGGAGGAGTCCGTTAGAGACCAATTAAATAGGGGAGTGGTACCTGAGGGCATCGATGTGCATTGCCTAGCTGGACTTATCAAGGTGTAAGCTTTGATCACTACTGTATAAGCTCTTACTTCTTTTCCTCTCTGTAGTCGCATTTCCCATTTTATGGCACCAATACCGCTCATGACCTGCCGAATGGTTAAGTTCATGGGTAGGACTTTGTGCAGGAATATATTTCACATAACTGGCCATCTTTGTGTAGTACTTAAAGTGGTTTGTGTTTTTTTTTTTTCGATGTGGAGACTGGATAAGGGGAATGTGAAAATATTTTGAAGGGGAGTGGGTAAGTGCACAGAATAAAGCTATGGGAAAAAATGTGCATGCTACAGTCTAATGCCATTTTTTATACTGAATGCTGCATCATATGCCTTCTCATTGGGATTTGTTTTAGGTGCATCATGTGGTCTCCTATCTTCTACTAAGGGTATTCCAGGTACCATTGTCAAAAAGAGATCTCCACAGTGCCCAAGAATCTGGTCTGTGGTCTTTATTATTATAGAGAAATGATACTCCCTTGATTACATTATTCCTGCTGCTCAGTCAGACCTACTTCTTCATGGTGTACACCATGCTTTGCAGCACAAAATACTCTCACCTTGAACACGATGAGATGTGATGTGAAAAATTTTGCTTAGTTGTGTCTTGACGTCATACAGTTTAAAGATGCAAATTAAGATCCCAAAATAATGTTTACACATGCGCGAGTTTTTAATTTGTTTCCTCTTTGAATGCAAGATGTCCGAATACAAAAGATTATATTCCATTTTCTCTTATCAATAGAAGATAAAGTAGACTTATTTTGTGTCAAATTGTAGGCATGGTTTCGAGAACTTCCGACTGGTGTGCTGGATCCTATTTCACCAGAGCAAGTAATGCAATGCCAGACTGAGGAAGAATGTGCCGAACTTGTGACAGTTCTACCTCCAACAGAAGCTGCATTACTGGATTGGGCAGTTAACCTCATGGCTGATGTTGCTCAGATGGAGCATTTAAACAAAATGAATGCGCGCAATATCGCCATGGTTTTTGCTCCAAATATGACTCAGGTTAATTTTCTTCCATGGACAATTACTGGTCCATAACTATAGACACCGCAAGTGAATGTTACTTCTGTTCTTAAGTTGTGAAGATCAGTATCTGGCCTGCCTGCTTTGCACAGTTGATTCATGCTTTGGTGCTGCCATATAAAGTAGGTCTCTTTTCATCCTTCAAGTGCATTTCCATCAGACATCGCATACTTCAGTGAAGGTTTCTCGTTTGAAATGGCCTGCAAATGCTGCATTATGCATCAGTTTGATTTGATACAGTGAACTCATGATCTTGTTAACAACAAAGTTGATAAAAGGAGAGGTTTTCATGTAGATATAAGAAACTGTGCATTAGGCCAAGAACTTCTATCTTGGCTGGTTGCATCTTACAGCTACTGACAAATCATTTACAACATGTACTATATCGATTGTGTTGTCGGGAATTGAATGAGCAAACATGGAAAAAAATCTACAGAATATGCTTTAGGTGACTGTCTTTATCATTTTGCAGATGGCAGATCCCTTAACTGCTTTGATGTATGCTGTCCAAGTGATGAATTTCCTCAAGATGCTAATAATAAGAACCCTGCGAGAAAGAGAGGACTCTTCAGTGGAACCAGCTCGGGCTTCCAGTCTTGAGCCTTTTGATGAGAGTGGACACCAGAGTCCTTCCCAGCCCTGTCTAGGAGATACTGCCCAGGATAATGAAGAAAGCGAGCGAGTTTTTGCTGCTGAAGAACCCGATACGGATGGCTTATCTAACTCAGATGAAAAGGCGAGCATCAGTGAAGGAGAATTATGTCGTCATGAGGAGGTGATGGAACTCGACATCTTTAACTGTGAGACGGAGGCCAAAATGTTTGGTACTATCAAGAGCAGAATCCAAGAGGATGGAAGGAAGGCCAGCTTTGGCCAATCTAGTGATACAGACTTTGAGAAGAGTCCTTTAATGATGGACTTGCATCAACCTGCATTCCAGGTGACGATGCCTGTAGAGAAGAGTAGGGTGATTGGTGGCTTAAGCCGTATAGATTCAAGAACGGAGTGGATTGAGGCATGGAGATGAAATATTTCTGCACTTCTAGGGAACAAGCTTCTAGATGACCTCATCGAGTGTAAGTTTGTATGAATCGGAGTCGGGGCAAGGTTTTGTGAAAGATTTGTGTTCTGTTTCACGGTGCCAGATTTTAGGATTGTTTGATACTGTCTAATGTTGCAACAACATTCCACTTGTGATCATACTAACTCAGTGGAGATTCACTCGTCTTTGCTTGTCGTTTGATCATTGTTTTGCTCGAGCTGCCGTTTATTGTGGCACTGCTTTCCCTCTCTCTCTCTCTCTCTTCCCAACCTACATAAAGACTTGCATTTCCCGACATTCAACTATCCTAGATAGAAAATAGGACTAGTCCATGAAATGAGTGCCCAATTTATGGCACGATGGTGTTGATGTTAATTGGAATGTAATCAGCATGCAGTACTTGGTTGTCACTGGCACTCTCCCATGCGAGCACTCTCCCATCCAATTCGCAGAGGGATGGTGTCGTCATTAACCTTGGAATGCATTCGTGCCGCTCTCAAATCTGAAGCAATGCGCCCTCACATATGTTAACATGCATTATTCCACCTAATGAATGAACTCTGTGGAGAAACTCCCAAAATTTACTCAAAGTATGATCAAGGAATTGAGATGAGCCAGCAATAGTCAATCCCCAGAGTACAAGAAATTCACTTTGAACGAGCCAACCTCAGTATATGTCCACCATTAGGACTAGCTAGCAGCTAAGCAACACGCCATCTGATATTGATTTCTCTCATATCGCATGAGGGCACCCGAATGCAATCCACTTTCAGAATTCTCTCAGAAACAAACATGACTAAAACAAAAAGGCGGCCAATATAATCAATCCCTCAATTTCACTGTAAATAGGGTGTCTTTCACATGTGAAGCCTATGCAGAGTGCCAAGCTTTCTTTACTGGAAATCATTCGGGCGAGCGCTCTATAATTATTCAATTCTCCTCGTAAAAGTAGCATACTTCTCTTTTCAGTTATTTTCTTCCTTGAGCAGAAGGATTATCCCGATCACAAGGAATCAAGAAGGCACCATGCAATCACGTTCGAGGATTGCTTCCATCCAAGGTGAGAAGCACCTTGTATAGGTCTGGACGTCGATCTCGAAATATTCCCCAGCTGTGTCTCTTGCTTTTTATATTAGCCAGATCAAATTCCGCCACAAGAACAGCTTCCTCTTTGTCATTAGCACTTGCCACGATTTCTCCCGTTGGTCCTGTGCAATATGTAATTCTAATTCAAAATATTGTTCACAAGCAGAATAACTCTATTCTAGAATTACTTGCAATTGTCGACCTAATACCTGCGATGAAAGAGTTGCCGTAGAATGTGATCTCACTCTTTCCATGCTCTGTCTGTATTACTTCTTTCCCTATGCGATTTGAAGCCACCAGAGGTACCTACGTTTGTCGAAGTCAAATGAGATTACTTCGCAAGAAGTACTTATATGACATGGGACAATTATTGACTATTCATTATCGGGGTTTCCCAATCTATACTCAAACAATAATCAACTACGTGACCTCAAAAGAGGAAGACTAGGGAGAGCAAATCGCAATACAGCAGATTTTTCTCGCGGACATGATACAGTGGAGCAGATGCATAATGGAACAAGAAATTGCTCTAGGCCAAGTAATCGATATTACTCATTGGCTAAAGGAAAAAAGGTCAGAAATATTACTCAGACCAGATAAGCATGTTCATGAAAAAGTTGACACTCATTTACTTTCACAAGTTTGCTTGTCGAACACTAATCAGGCAACTTAAATGTCCCAACATTATTCACTAGTACACGATTCGATCAAGCAGAGAACGTACCAGATTAGCCCCAGCATGTCCTTGCATAACTCTTTTCCAGTGGTCTCTAGAATCAAGTCCTTGATCCTGTGGTTCAGAACCAATAGCAGTTGGGTATAACAATATTTCTGCCCCTTGCAAGACCATTGCTCGAGCTGCCTCAGGAAACCACTGGTCCCAACAAATTGCTGACAAAGATAACAAAGTTGATCAACCTATCATATCTTACCCTTCAAATTTGACTTATGGAATCAGCCTGAAATGTTACAAGTTGCAAGAAATACTATCAAACCAAGATTACAAGTTCAAGCTCAAAAAAGAGGACCTTGCAAGAAGGCAATTACTATTTGTTCCAGGCGATTTCTCATGGATTTTGAACATAGTATAGCAACAGGCAGGTTACACAGAGAACAAAAAAGCTGCAGGTATAACATATAAAGCTCCTTACCAACTCCAATCTTGGCAAATTTTGTCTCGAAAACCTGTTTAGCCAGAGAATCAAAGTCAATCTTATGGAATAACTTTGGTTAATCTCACTGTTACAGTCCATAGCTAAGAAGTAAGGAGATTGAAGATTGACTAATACAATTGCTCGTACACACCTTAAAGCCAGTGTCCCCTGGATTGAAGTAGAACTTCTCTTGGTAACCTGTGGATGCACGTCCCTGTGAACTCATCATTTATGAAGCAAATAAACACTCATGACATGGAAAGATAGAGAAATTTATGCACCTGGTCCATCGGGGATGTGCGACTTTCTATACAATCCAAGGTCACTCCCATCAGCATCAATTATAGCTATAGAGTTGTAATGAGCATTATTTGCCTCTTCAAAGAAGCTGACAGGTATCACTACACCCAGCTCTTTCGCAAGTTTCTGCATCCTGTGTAACATGGAAAAAAGCAAAAGGTTTACTGCAACCGTGTCATGTTGCTGGAAAATAGAATATCAAAAGAACAATAAGGCCTCAAACATGTCAGGAGAAGCAGGGACAATCTGCATGCCAAACAGAGCACTCTGTCTAACGAGCTCTTCTGGTAATCCAAAATGACATACACAATTTACCTCATAATAGTTGGGTGGCCCTTGTAAGGCTTTGCTCGCTGAAAGAAATCTTCCCTCTGTGCTTGACAAAAGTAGTATCCTTCAAAAAGTTCCTGAACGCAAAAGTTAGGACATCACACTGACATTTTGAGCCTCAAGGCCATAAATATTCCTCCTATGATAATATGGCAGAGTGGCAGTAACTAGAATAAAGTCAAGGACTTTCTTGAGGAAAATACTTCAAGAATGACTACCATTAGTATACTAAGCTTTACAAGGACAAAAGGTTCCGAGTTCAAGAGCTCATACCTGAATGAGAATGATGTTTGCACCCTTCCCATGAGCAGCTCTAACCAACCTGCATTGGAAAACATCTTTCATCAATCTTGGTGTAACGCATCATTGCACTCCATGAACCAAATTCGAATTGTATTTAGTGACAAGCGTTTGCCCCAGACTTGCGCAAAGGTGACCCGAGGTGGAACGCCAAGAAGGTGGAAACAAGCTGTAGCGGTTTCAATCTATTGTAGGGCCATTGACATCAATAAAGAAATGTGATGTTTGCACCACGTCCCCATTTCGTTTTTTTAGTGATTCCAATTTCCTTTGTGATAGCTCTCTTTCGCAAATTGACTAAAATCATATCCCACCAAGAAAGAAACCCAACTCTAGTTCCTTCTTTGTTTGTCTTTTCTTCAGAGGCCGGGCAACAAGCAGCCATTTTTGGGCCGGTGAGGGGGCTAAAGCAAAAGCTTCGTCAGCTCAATGCTCCGCTCTAACGCGCAAAAAGAGGAGCTAAAAACCCATTATGAAGTTCGAGGACATCAATGAACCGTAATTGCAAGCTGGAAGAACAAATACAGAGAGACAACAAAGAAGAAAACAACACCCACAAACCCGTAAAAAAAAAAAGCTTTTTTTTTGGGCATAATGGAGGAGGAGGAGGAGGAGGACCTCTCGGCAGTGGAGACGTTAGTGGCGACGTCGTCGGTGCAAGAGAACTGCAGAGCAGAGACCGCCACTTTCTGTCCTCCTTCCATCGGAGCGAGGTTCAAATTCGACCCTTTTCCGTCAATCGCTCTTTTTTAGGGTTGATGCACACCACAGCAGAGCAGAGCAGAGAGAAGAGGAAGGCCCTAACTTTGACTGCTCGGTCTTCACCAGTCGTAGGATGACTTCATCGTGCGGTGCCGCCGGATTCTAGAGAGAGAAAGGAAGAAGAAGAAGAAAAACAACGTTTGAGTTTGACTACTGAGTGACAGTGAAAATGATGGGGATCGGGTATGTTATTGTTTCTGAGGATGTCATGCGCGGTTCCTGTCGATCGTATAATATATAGCTTGCTAAGCATACTGGACCCAAAGAACATCTCAATATTTAATTAATTTTACGTAACGGGCGATTAATATTTTGAAAAGAGAAAATTTGAATTAAGGACCCTAAACAGGATTTTTTTCTCAAAAAAGGATTTTAAGTGGATATAGTGTTAAATAAGGGCATGAAGTGTCCAATCAGTCTCAAATAAGAACCCGAAGTATCCAATTAGTCTCAAGTAAGGACTTGGATTCGCCGGCCGGTCAAATGCTCACCGGCCGGCAAGCACGTTACTGTTCCGGCGATCGGAACAAGGGTAATTTCATCTTTTTCTTTTTAATTTTTTCCTTTTTTTGTTTTTTTCTTTTCCTTTTCCTTTTCCTTTTCTGTTTTTTTTTTTCCTCTCTTCCCTTCACCGGCCATAGCCGTGGCCAACAGAGGTCGCCGGCCTCAAGCGGAGGCTGTCCTCGCCAGCGTCGAGCAAGGGCCGCCCTCGCCAGATCCGGCAAGGGCAACCCTCGCCCGAAGCCAGAGAGGGCAGCCCTCGCCCGACGCCGGCGAGGGCGGCCTCCGCTTGAGGCCGGCGACCTCCGCCGGCCCCGGCTATGGCCGGCGGAGGGAAGAGAGGAAAAAAAAAATAGAAAAGGAAAAGGAAAAGAAAAAAACAGAAAAAGGAAAAAAAAAGAAAAAAATTAAAAAGAAAAAGACGAAATTCCGGTTACCGGAACAGTAATGTGCTCGCCGGCCGGTGAGTATTTGATCGGCAGGCAAACCCAGGCCCTTACTTGAAGCTACTTGGGCACTTCGGGTCCTTATTTGAGACTGATTGAACATTTCAAGCCTTTATTTAATACTATGTCCACTTGGGGTCCTTTTTTGAAAAAAAGACCCTACTTGGGATCCTTAATTGGAATTTTTCCTTTTGAAAATTATGACCTTTCTCGTAACCAATGCGTCGAAGCACTCGTTATTGAAAATATAAAGATCGATATTTCGATACTGTCTCGTTTTAGATAATTTCGAATCTACACGCCTTTTTAATTAGTTAAGCAACTTTATTAATCATCACTTAACATTTACCCTTCTGAGTCTTGGGTCGGTGATTTGGTGGTATAGCTATCAACAATAGCTGTGATGTGATGGCTTTTGGGCTTTGATTTTTTAGGAAATGGTTAATATAACGAAAAACATAAAACCGGTACACCTGTAATAAATTTATATTCCGTTAATTTTCGTTAAATTTTATTATCGAATTGCTTAGTTAAATAACACGTGGCAGTTTACGGATATACTAGTTTGGGATTTTAACAGGTGTACTAATTTATGATTTTTTTTATATTAATAAAATTTAACGGAATATAAATTTGTCACAAATGTATCGGTTTGGAATTTTTGGTGGTCAAAAAATTAGTTTGGGATAAATTTATTACGAGAGTATCAGTTTGGGATTTTTTGTGGTCAAAAAATTAATTTGAGATAAATTTATTACATGTATATAAGTTTGGTGTTTTTCATTAACCCTTTTGGAAAACATCTTCTTCATGGAAAGTCCCTTAAGTGTTCTTCAAGCTTTCTTAAGAAAAATATTGTCATTTGGCGAACCCACCATGACGTTTTGCTGTCTTCGTACATCGGCGTAAAGTCGCCATGAATTGGACCTTTCTGTACTTTTGATAGTTCATTCCAAAAACAGAGTAAACAAGAGCAGGAATCCCAAAATGGTCCATTCCTCCTCTTTCTTTGACCTACCAAGATATACTAGTCGGCAGGCAGGCAAATGCCTAACTAGAATGCCCATTGGTATCTTTTCCGTGTTACGCGAACTTTGCAAGCCTCTGAGGGCGAGACCAACTCCTGGTCCATCTCATTTGTTGTGTGAGCGGGCGCGTGCAAAAGTCCGCTTAGATGCTTGTCCGGGTAGGAGAATGACTAACAGAGGTTGCTGCAAATGTCTGATCTTTTCCCAATCGCTCCGACAACCCTATCGTGCAAGGATAAGAATGATGAGGGATTTGCAAAAAAGCATCGACTTTGCTCGACACGGGTCTCTAACGATAAATGCGAAGGCTCCGCTAGTATCTGCCTTCCTGACCTACAAGGCATGGAATTCACCAGGAGACTAGAAAATCATCTAGGAATAATTCCCAGCATTAAGGAGTTTTCCATTTGAGCAACATGACTCCGTGCCTATCTCAACAGAAACTACTGACAAGTTCTAGCAAAGAAATCCTCCTAAGCCAAGATCACACGAAAAGAACCAATGTGGGGTGAAGCCACAGGAGATGCACAATCGACGTTGCAAAAATAATGGTCGACATAGGCAACAGAATGTGGGCAAGATCACGGTATCCATGAGCTACAAAAGTTACCTGTTCGAGGACCAGCTAATATTAATGAAAACATATGAAGCAAGAACAATACAATGTACCTAATAACACTGGCACCACTCCACTGATCATTACTAACTGAACATATAAGCTGTTCTAACCACTGGCGTCACACTGCACGTTACTGATAGAAGAAGCTCTTGTATGCTAAACTGTTCTTGGAGGGAGTGAGCTCACTCTAAGCATGCCCCAGCTCACGAAGCTCGACTTTGATGACCTCAGTAGATATATATGGATGTGTTTCTTCCATTGGATGCCTCAGTTTGATGCTGCTGCTTGCTGATAGGAACCCCTAATTTGTCCAGTCAAATACCCTTTCGACTCACATCAAGATCAACCTACCCCACCCAGACGTTAACCTCAATTAGACTTCATTCTTCAGAGCCCTTACTAATGCCTCCATTTTTCTTTTTCTTGCCACCTTCTTTGGTTTGGGAAGGTTCCCCCTCCATCTTTCTCTTGGTAGATTCTTTGGCCTTAGCTTTGTCTTTAACCACAGTTCCACTTTCTTCTTCAGTTCCATTACTAGTGCCTCCATTTTTCTTTCTCTCGCCATCTCCTTTTGCTTGGGAAGGTTCTCCCTCCATCTTTCTCTTGGTCGATTCTTTAGCCTTAGCCTTGTCTTTAACCACAGTTCCACTTTCTTTTTCAGTTCCATTACTTGTGCCTCCATTTTTCTTTCTCTCGCCATCTCCTTTTGCTTGGGAAGGTTCTCCCTCCGTCTTTCTCTTGGTTGATTCTTTAGCCTTAGCCTTGTCTTTAACCACAGTTCCACTTTCTTTTTCAGTTCCATTACTTGTGCCTCCATTTTTCTTTCTCTCGCCATCTCCTTTTGCTTGGGAAGGTTCTCCCTCCATCTTCTTCTTCATCGATTCTTTTGTCTTAGCCTTGTCTTTAACCACAGTTCCACTTTCTTCTTCAGTGCCATTACTAGTGCCTCCATTTTTCTCTCTCTCACCATCTCCTTTTGCTTGTGAAGGTTCTCCCTCCATCTTCTTCTTCATCGATTCTTTTGCCTTAGCCATTTCCTTCTTTCCAGCATTTTTCTTCCTGAACTCTAGGAAATCAAGAAAAAAGAAGTTGTGCAACTTTTCCATCATCCGAAAGCAGTATAATTTGACATGAAAACAAAAAATAAGCAAAATCCTGTAGCTACGCAGCCCAAGACACTTCAAAGAAATGCACAGAATTCAGCGGCAATGCAGTTGAGGACAACCAAGTGTAATTATTTGAAAAACAAAACCAATGGAGACCATAACCCTGTGTCTGGTCACCGCTTCATCCGCCAATTGAAAGATAAATGACGGAAATTTAGGCATAAACCTCGAACACTGAAGACCGACAAGAGAAGGAAAAACTACAGTTCAAGCTAAAAAGCCTGTGCACTAAATTAATTGATTTGCCTAATATTTCATTAAAAAAGATATTTTAGCAGAGGACCCAGTATTGCACCGAAATCATAACATAATATATAGAAATGTTAATAGCAAACCAAGAAGGCACTGGAAACTTGCATAAGTAACATATTTGTGGCATGCAAGCATCAAAATCTTTGCTGCTCTAGCATGGGGGATACAGTTGCAGAGTTCTTGCACACTAAAGCTATGACCAATAATACACAGTGTTAACGATCTTAACTTTTGGGAAAATCTAATGCATACATGGCTGTAGCAAAAATGTAGTTCAGTCTGTCAACTGGATAAACCACTGGCAGGACAAATATGATGCCCTATGCAGTTGCAAGTGTAGAAGTCGTTGAAACGCAAGGAAATCATGTCAAATTTGCCACGTTCCTAGGAAGATGGGCAAACAAAAAAAGATCAAAAAAATTTCCACCATCTGATCGGTAAAGCAAATACTATCAATTCTTCAGACATATAATTTCCTTCCAACAACACCAATTCCTGCCGCAGGTATAGGACGCCAAAGTATAGGTAATGTGTACAAACACAATATCCCGAATGCAACCTAACCATGAATAGGAGGCCCGATGCTGACAAAATTTCCCAGAAAAGACAGAAGACTCTCATCACGCCTCATCTCCAAACGTAAAATGCATGAAGGGTCATAATTCAGCGATTATCTGCAAGCAGCTTTCATAAGAAGCAAATGATGAACTCCAGCAGTGCATAAATCGCACTAACCATCCAGAGATGCTCTAAGAGGGCCGATGAACTCGGGAAATTCCATCTCCTCCAGCGCCTTCAATACGTCGTCGGCGTTAATAGTTTGCCTTTTCGATTCTTTGCATATGTCGTTCGCTCTGCCGTGAAGCAAAAATCGAACAATGTCAAACACTAAATACTTGTGTCCAATTCCAGAACCAGCAAAGAGACGCAAGCTCTTCGATTTCAGCATCCCGAATATTCCCCAAATTTCAAAGGTTGGTAGCTCATCAAGAGCTGCTCATGGTTTGGAAGCTACGTTAAGAATTAAGATAAACAAAACAAGAACTGAACACTTGAACATCGCAGGAAATGAAGAGAACTACGGCTATCACGCTGCAACACCGAAGGAATCATCGAAACCAAGAAACGAAGAAAGAAATCGACGGGGCCCTGCGCCGTATCATCAGGGTCAACGCGGGCGAAACCCTAGGGAACAAGAACCAGAGAGGGAGGGAGGGGGAGGGCGGAGATGCGTACGTGGCGGAGAGGTAGTGGATGAAGATGCGAGCGCTCTCGGAGAAGGCGAGGAGGGCGTCCTTGTGGAGGGAGACGACGCCGCCGTCGTCGGAGCACGCGGAGAGCTTCTCCTTCACGACGCGGCGGACGATGGTCTTGGGGAGCTCCTCCGCCTCGCCCACCACCTTCGCCGCCGTCTCCATCTGGGGGGGATCCCCGTGCCGGTGCGGTTCGCGCGGATCGCGGCGAATTCGAGGAGGAGGCGGAGGCGGAGGAGGAGGAGGAGGGGGTGGTGATTTGGCTCGCGAGCTCGGGGTTAGGGCTTAAGTTTCCCGCCAACAATGACACGGAGAAGGAGGGAGGGAGAGAGAAAGAGAGAGGGGCCTTCCGTTTGTGGGCTTTCGCAGTGAATTCCGGGCTTTCTAGCGACAAAGCCCGGCCCATTAGCAAACAGATGAATAATTTTTTATTATTTTATTAGTTGATAATTTTTAACGTGGAAAAGTAAGAAAACGAGATAACAGCACCTTATGGTCCTTGAAACTTTGATCTGACGTGCAACGTCGTCCATAAACTTTTGATTTATGCAACGTGGTCCTTGAATTTTGAGCCAATGTGCAATGTCGTCATTAGATATTTAATTTGTTCAATGTGGTTCCTGAACTGTGCGTAAATGTTCAATGTAATCTCTAGACTATATGAAAATGTTTTAAAGTGCATGGATCATATCGAACATTTGACTAAAGTGCATGAAGCATATTGAATAAATTAAAAATTCCAAAAAGATATTATACATTAGATCCATTTTCCTTAAGAAAATTGAGTAGAACTCATTAAGAGTGAGCATAGTTCCAGGGTAGAACTGGGAACCGAAGAATGGGACCAGAGCTAGTCCGGTTCTACGTTCTAAAAATTAGGGAACCTAGAACAAGTCTTTGTGTTTTTTCTTGTTCTATGTCTTTGCACAATCCTGAAATATTCCATAATGTTCGATGATGAAGGTGTAATCTGGAACCACTAGTCTAAGCTTCCATTTTCGGCGATATCAATTACCGAAACTTTTACTTTGTTATTGTTTCATATTTTGCATATTTCTAAATATGAGTCGTGCTTAGTGAATTATAACAGCAAATGATAGTTACTCTAATCGTTCAATTAAGAATACAAGTGGAACCTGATAGATCTTGAAACCAATTCTTGAACTTTTAACAGGGAGGTTCCAAGTAGGTTCTAAAGTATGTACGATAGGTTTCAAGTTTCAAATTAGAAATTAGTCATCGTCACCCGGAATTTTCGGCTGTTATTCCAAAATGTGTTAAAAAAAGCGAGCATACGACAAAAACAGCCGACCATTTTTTTTTGTCATAAAACAGCCGACGTTAATCACCACCATCTCAGACACATTCCTCGTGAACGACCGTGTCGAACCGTCTTAGTTGTCGTCAGTCGTCACCTTCTTCCTCGATTTCTCAATCACTCCGTCCTCTTCTTCTCCGCAATCTCCAAACGGGCCGAACCTTCCTCGAGTTTCTTCATGTCGTCCTCCTACGGCGGTCGCAACGACCGGCCTCCTCCTCCTCCTCAATCTTACGCACTCTCAGCTCCGGCCCTGCCCGACCCCTACGGCTACGGCCAGCAGCAGCAGCTTCAGCAGTATCCACCTCAGCCTCCGTACGGGTCGTCGGCATCATCGTCGTTCGGGTCCGGGTATTGTCAGTCGTTCCCCCCAGGGACCCGGATGCGATTCGGAGCTTCGAGATGGCTGACAGGGATTGGAGCGGGTACATTGACGAGAAGGAATTGCAACAGGCTCTCTGTTCCGTGTCGTATCAGAGGTTCAGCATCAAAACCGTTCGGTTGCTCATGTTCCTGCTTAAGAATCCCAATGACCATCTTCGACTAGGTGGATTGTTCTTTCCTTTTTTATATATCACTTGGTTGATTCTTGTTCGGGGGTTTGTGCAATTTGGCTTCAACTCTGTTTTATCATTGAGTGATGCATTAAGGATAAAAAGCTCTAAAGCTCACGACTTTTAGCCATCGTGTGTCACTTTCAAAGGCTGCCAGTAAATTAGAAGACAGAAAAAACAAAGGGATGCTGAATTCTGATGCAGTCTGCGCTAAAATTTACCCGTGTCAATACGTTTCAGGCTCCAAAGAGCTCGCTGCTTTGTGGAGCTGCCTCAGTCAGTGGAGGGTAAGTTTCGCTTTTGTTTAGCAGCTTAAGCTTTCGTTTAGGTCAGTTGGCACAAAGTTCCGAAGTAATGCCTTTGACTCATCAATCAGTATATGTTGCTCTACTTTGTTTTAGCAAACAGATTGGTCATTTTTTCCCTAGTTACTGTTGCATTTCCTACTTGACCATAGTTTGTTTAGCAAAGTCAACTTGACATGAGATATTTCACTGATACAAACATGACATGAGTGCTTTATTAGGGAGTTCTGTGGCATTTGTCACGCAGAACTTTGTCTATCACTCTGTATAATTGAACATTTATTGTAGTGATAGGCTTTTAGAGAGAATCTTCACTCAAAATAGCATACTGATTCTGTTTGAGATTACCCTCTAGCTAGCATTGTAGTAGCAGGACGAAATCCAATGCAGACACTGTTTAAAAACACTATCCTCTAAATGGTTCGGATGTAAGTCGAGGTGAAGTAGCATAGTTGGTTATTCTGTGGGTCTTCTTATGTTGTACGTGGTAATTAAGAATGATTCACATGCAAAATGGTGACTGCAGGCCATATTTGAGAGATTTGATAGAGACAGAAGTGGAAAACTTGACTTGACAGAACTAAGAAATGCTCTTTACAGTCTAGGCTATGTGATCCCGCCATCTGTTCTTCAAGTTCTGATGTCTAAATATGATGACATCAGTGGCAGGACATGCGAACTTAATTTTGATGCTTTTGTCGAGTATGCACCTTCTTGCCTTCTAGCCTTCAGCCCACTTGAGTTGAGAAGAATCGGATTTAAATACAGAACTTACTAATGTTATGTTGGATGTGCAGGTGCGGAATGATTGTGAAGGTACTATATCGACTATATGAACTATGTCATGAGTACGGTATGCACAGATGCTTCAATGGCTAATTGAGTGATCTTCTCGTTACTTAACATTGCATTTCAGGGTCTGACAGAGAAATTCAAAGAGAAAGATCCGCGGTACACAGGATTGGCGACACTCGGATATGATGAGTTCATGTCTATGATCCTTCCTTTTCTGGTATCATAAGATTGACGGGAAAGTATCATACTTCTTTTGGCGTGTAAATACTGGAGAATAAGGCCCAACGGAGGTTCATCACTCTGTAACTTTAGATTCTTGGGAGGCCTCTTGTCTGCTATTATAAGCAGAAACATTTCAGTATGTGTGCTGTTATGCTTGTTGTATACTGAGAGGTGATGTTTCTATTGATCAATTTCTGCATAGTGATCCGCAATCCTCTCCAGGTTTACAGAGACTTTGGCTTTCTAGTTGTCAAATCGAAATGATCGTGGGTATTTTCGCCATTCTTCTCGTCGAGATTGAGCTGGGGATTGGACAATGGACAATGAAGTGGACTTCTAGGAGAAACACTACAAAAAAACATGATTATTGCGACGGAAATTTGTGACGGATTATTTTCGTCGCAAATTTGCGACTGATTAAATCCATCGCAAATTTGCGACGAAAATAATCCGTCACAAATTTGCGACGGAAAGTTGCTCGTTGCTAGTTCCGTCGCAAATTTGTGACGACTAATTTTCCATCGCAAATGTGTGACGGATTTATTTTCCGTCGCGACGAATATTTTATCCGTCGCAATTTGCGACGGATTTTGCAACGAAAAAGGGTTCGTCGCTAATTTGTGACGGAAAATTAATTTTTTGATATGCACCCCACCCCACTCGTCAATTTCTCTCTCTCTCTCTCAGTAGTGATTCGTCAGGTCGCCCGCTTTTCTCTCACCTTCTCCTTCTATCATTTCTCTCAATAATCCGTACGTCTAGAAATCAATCTCGGTGAAGCTTTTCCACCGGTAAGTATCGTAGCTAATTTCGTGACTAAACATGCAACTAATATGGTCATGTCCTTCTGATTCATCGTTGGATGCGAATTTTTTTTTATTGACATTTTTTTCTGTTTTTGTTGTTCCGGCGACCGGCCACCAATTTGCGACGGACCTAGACCGTCCTTCGCAAATTTGCGACGAACACACCTGGGCGAGGTGCCGGTCGACCTCGCCACCATGGCGGCTTCGACCCATGGCCGGCGAGGCTGCGCGGGGTGGCCATGGCCGCGGGTCGACCTCGCCGTCGCCTAGCTGGGCGACGGCGAATCGGCGACCGGAGAAAATTGTAAGAAAATTTTTGTTTTTTTTTAAATTCGGAAAAAAATAAAAAAATTATTTAAAAATGAATGTTAAGTGATTTTGCTTTTATTTAGGTACGTGTCCAATTGAAGGTCTCGCAATCCAAGTGAACTTTGCAATTCTCTTCAAATTGATCACTTTCTGCTATCAAGATTTCAGTCAAATATCTGGGTAAGTCTTCTTTACATGGTAATTTTTTCATTTTTTAAAATTTCAAAGTAATTGTTGCGTGAAAAACAAAATTTTAATTTTCATAAATTTTTTTTAATTAACAACAGTAGATATGATATTTTAAATATTTTACGAGATTTTTTTATTTTAATACAGACACAATGCAAAGAAACAGGGCTTGGATGTATAATAAGAACTTACCTGGACGTCAAGGATTGACCGATGAGTTTCGTACTGGGTTGGAACTATTTTTAGACTTTGCTAGTAGTAAATATGAGTTCATGGATGGAAATAAGTTAAGGTGTCAGTGTAGAAAGTGCAGTAATGGTAAATTTCATGTGCGTGATACAGTTGGAGAACATATTTGTAGATTTGGGTTTACTCCGAATTATTATAATTGGACTTGCCATGGTGAACCATTTACATCTGATGAAGGATATCGAAGAAGTGACCAATTTTTAGTTAGGGAAGAATGTAGCTATTATGAGCAATTGAACCTATACGAGAGGATGGTGATTGATGCAGCTGGTCAGAATTTTGTTTCAGATTCGAGCCATGCAAGTACTAGTTTTACTCCTACACATGAACAAGTGAGTACTAGTCATGCATCACAAATGAAAGAGATAGGAGTAACGGGTTTTGATGAGAATGTGTGTAATGGAGCTTTTTCATCTAATCAGTTCTGGGAAGTGTTGAAAGCAGCAGATGAACCTTTATGGCCAGGTTGTGACAACCATACTAAGTTATCAGTGACAGCAAGACTGTTAAATATCAAGGCAGAGCATAATGTGTCGCAAGATTGCTTCAACTCTTTTGTTAAAGTAATGCGGGAAACAATGCCTCGTGATAACAGCATGCCAAGTGATTGTTACGATATGAAAAAGCTAGTGGATAACTTAGGTCTTCCGGTTGTAAGGATTGATGTATGTAGTAGGGGCTGTATGTTATATTGGAGAGATGATGAAAATGTAGAATCTTGCAAATTCTGTAGCCAACCTAAGTACAAGATTAACAGGAGGCATGGTCGTAATCAGAAGCGTAGACCATGCAAGCAAATGTTTTATCTGCCCTTAATCCCCAGATTGCAAAGGCTTTATGCGTCTCAAGCCACAGCTGAACACATGACTTGGCACACAAATCATGAAACAGAAGAGGATCTAATGTGTTATCCTTCAGATGCAGAGGCATGGAAGCATTTTGATAGAACGTACCCTGAGTTTGCGATAGAGCCTCGAAACATCAGGTTAGGTCTCTGTGCTGATGGATTTGCCCCATTTGGGAAATCAGGAAAAAGTTATTCATGTTGGCCAGTTATTTTAACGCCGTACAATCTTCCACCTGGTATGTGCATGAAGACACCTTATATGTTTTTGACATTGATCGTGCCTGGCCCGCAAAATCCGAAAAAGTTAATAGATATTTATATGCAACCATTGATTGAAGAGTTACAACGGTTATGGGAGGAAGGTGTCCTTACATATGATGTTTCTACCGATCAAACATTTGTAATGAAGGCTGCTCTTCTTTGGACGATAAATGACTTTCCAGCTTACGGAATGTTATCTGGATGGAGTACAGCTGGGATCTTAGGATGTCCGATATGTTTGGAGAGATCAAAGTCATTTAGATTAAAACATGGAAAGAAGCCCAGCTATTTTGACTGTCACAGACAATTTTTACCGATAAATCATACATTCAAAAGGAATAAAAAAGAGATCATGAAGAATAGGACTGAAAGAACACGTGGGAGCGAGTGCAGGACTTTCCAACTGTTGTTCAGAACCCTAACGACACGACTTTTGCGTACGGAAGTACACATAAGTGGACAAAACGCAGTATATTTTGGGATCTACCATATTGGAAGGCCCATCTTATTCATCATAATCTTGACGTCATGCACATAGAAAAGAATGTTTTCGACAATGTCATAAATACTGTGATGGATGTCACCGGAAAAACAAAAGACAACTTGAACGCAAGAAAAGATATGAGAGATATCTGTGATCGACCAACACTAGATGTGGATGCAAGCAGCAGGGGACCAAAACCAAAAGCAGTTTATACATTGGATAAGGAGCAGAGTCGAGTTGTTTGTCAATGGTTGAAATCTGTGCGGTTTCCTGATGGATATGCTTCGAACCTCGAAAGATGTGTTGATTTGAATGAATGCAAGTTGACAGGTTTGAAGAGTCATGATTGTCACATATTGATGGAAAGACTAATGCCAATAGCTTTCAAGGAAGTTCTACCGAATTTTGTTTGGGGCTCCATTACAGAGTTAAGCAATTTCATGCATGATATTTGCTCGACAGTGTTAAAAGCATCGCACATGGACAAACTAGAGAGAGATATTCCAATTATTTTTTGCAACTTAGAAAGGATATTTCCTTCATCATTTTTTGATTCGATGGAGCATCTCTTAGTTCACTTGCCTTATGAGGCCAAAGTTGCAGGTCCCGTACAATTTCGATGGAAGTATCTATTTGAGAGGTAAATTTTTTTTTAAAATTAAAGTTCAAATTACTTTATTATATATTATGCTCCGATAAACTTCTTTCTATTGCAACTAGATTCTTATATCATTTGAAGAAAAAAGTGAAGAATAAGGCACGTGTTGAAGCTTCAATTTGTAATGCATATATTGTGAAAGAAGTGACAACATTTGCATCATACTATTTTGAGCCGCACGTACAGTGCAAGAGGCGGAGAGCAGGCAGAAATGATGAGGGCCTCATTGATCCCAATTGCAAAGTATTCTCTATTTTCAATTATCTGGGTCGACCAAGCAGCGCATGTCAGTCTCGTTACCTAACAGGTGAAGAATTGCATGCAGCCCATATATATATTTTACTGAACTACCCAGAAGTCGAGCCATACTTCGAGTAAGTGTAAATTTGCAAATATATGTATTGTGTGTCAAATATTTGCTAATATATAAATGGTATTTATTACTAGGATTTTCCAAACTTCAATGTATGGACTACCACAAAATGAGTTTGACCGTATGTGCGACGAACAATTTGCAGCATGGTTCAAAACATATATAAGTTGCCTATGGACCGTTCACTTGCCTTATTAAAATTTTATACATCATTTATTGAAGTATATATTATTGACTTTGCGTGTGTAACCTTAGGTTCACAATAATCATGATGAACTTGGAGAGCAAGGATTGCTATATTATCTGTCATGGGGTTCACAGTTAAGAGTGCGGAGTTGGCCAGCATATTTCATAAATGGATATAATTTTCACACTCAAGAATATGGAATGGGAAAAGCCACAATGAATAGTGGTGTGTCTGTTCGGTCATCCAATGGTGGCAGTTCAAAAGATGATTTTTATGAATTGTTGGGTGAAATCATAGAGATAGAGTACCCTGGACCATTAATGATGCGGGTTGTGTTATTTAAGTGCAAGTGGTTCGACCCCGTCAAAGGAATGAAGGTGCATATGAAGTTTAATTTGGTTGAAATAAATCACAAGAAAATGTATATGAAATATGAACCATTTGTCTTGGCACAACAAGCAATTCAAGTATGTTATGCATCATATCCTAATTTGAAACTTGATAAAGCTGATTGGTGGGCTGTATGTAAAATCAAAACACGGAGAAAAATCAAGGAACACTAGAAGGATAGAGCCTATCAACAAGAGGAAATTTGTAACACGGTTGAAACTGAGGAATATAACATTCCAACTTTACGAGAT